TCCAAAGGCGGAGGCTGGTAATCACAGTGAGTTTTCGACTGCCCCTCGAACCTTGCACTGGGGTCACCTATGGGAAGCCTTGTCGGTGGCTGGCCGCCTTCCATGTCCAACTTCGCCACATCTGGCGGTGGTGCCTTGTAATCTGCCTGGGCAGTTGACTCCCCTTGGAAGCGTGTCCGTGGCAGCGGGAGTGTTCCGTCAAGAGTTGATGACAAGTCTGGGTACCATGATCCAAGTGGAGGGGCTCGGTAATCATGGTGCGTTGTAGATTCGTTCAGCGTGCCAGCCGTGGGCTGCAACAGCTCCCGCACAGCAGGCATGGCATCGCCCAGCGGTGCTCGGAATTCGGGCATGACACTGGGAGGGGCCTGAAAATCCCGGTGTGTGCAGGATTCTCCTTCGAAATTCGTGCGAGGCACAGGAATTTGTGGCGCCTCGATGCCACTTTGCACCAGGGCCTGCCGCAACTGCTCGAGGCCTGGGGCTTTGTAATCATGGTGCGCAGTTGACACTGACTTCTGGCTAGGCTGAGGATGGATAATGTCCTGTGCGCTGGACTGCCGGCAAGGGACAGGCGCGGAAAACGCAGCCGTTGGAGCCACTGGAGGTGCTGCATAGTCAGCATGCATCGAGGACTGCCCCACGAACGGGATGCTGGGCTGCATGTCTGGGCAAAGAAGAGTAGGCAGCGGCGATGTAACACGAAAGGCCTCCAAAGGTGGAGGCTGGTAATCACAGTGAGTTCTCGACTGCCCCTCGAAGCTTGCACTGGGGTCACCTATGGGAAGCCTTGTCGGTGGCTTGCCACCTTCCATGGCCAATCTCGCCACGTCTGGCGGTGGTGCCTTGTAATCTGCCTGGGCAGTTGACTCGCCACTGAAAAAGACTTTCGTTTCCTCTCCCTGCATGTGGCATTCCTTAGCCAGGTTGGACAAAAGACAAGCCGTCATGGAAACCATCTAAGTTCATGAAGTCCTAGCTGCCCCAGCTTACACAGCGGCCCGAGTGACATGAACCTTCAATTTGTTTGCGTGAACTTGGAATACGAGGATACGGATTTAGTTTTCTCCGTGGACTTTAGTGCTTCATGCGAGTTGGAAGCAAAATCACCAATGAGCCCTGGCACCGTTCCCAACTGTATACAAGCTTCCACTGCTGCCGGCTGCCGCAGATCCGCCAATGGCGGCGCTCTGAAGGAATCATGGGTGCAGGATGTCCTCTGAACCGGCACCTGGGAGCCCCCAAACACTGTAGGACAGCGACCGTAAGGCCTATAACTCTCAACCCCCAAACCCAAAACCCACAGCCATAAGATTTAAAACCGCAAGATCCGGAACATTCTAGGAACGCTAAAGCCCTAAGACCCAACACCGCAATAGCTAAAGTCCTACGCGCGTCACACCCTAAAACCCGAGAGAGCCCTACAATCGTAAACCCGAAAACCTACCCTAAAACTAAGCATTATAAAACTTAAACACCCTAAACCCGAACACTTAAAACCTGTAATAACCTGTATATAAGTCGAAAACGGAAAAGGGCTTTTATAGGTTTTTAAATGTGTTTTGAGTTTTTGGGTTTTACATGGGTTCATAGGGCTTTATATGTATGTAACAATCGGCACGGATTCTACAAGGCCTCTTTTAGGTTGACGGTTTTTTCAATTCTCTCGAAGATAAGGCCTTCTGACAGGTCAACAATAGAGCCCATTCACAGTCAAGTGTTTGATAGGTTGCTAGGATTATGGGGTTTAATGCATAGATCTCCCTCTCATTCGCAAAATTATCCTGCGATGGTCGACCCCTTTCCAAATACAAAGCCCTTCAAGGGCTTGGAGGTGTGCAGCGTTGTAAAGTTCAGCGTTATAGGTTGAGGGTTTTGGGACGGTTTGGCAGTTTGTGGAAACGGATTGTCTTGAGGTTTAAGCTTTCGCCAAAATAGTTGCGGCTTGAGGGAGAAGACTTGAGCTATCCACACTGTGCAGTAACTCTAGGGCGCGGGTGTCCGCAAGTCATGCAGAAATTAATTGAGCCTCGAAACTTTGTAAGGGTGTTTCAAAGCGCTCAGGGTCGTGTAGGGGTTTACTGGCTTTACAAGGGTGGTTTCAGATGTTTCCCTTGATTTGGCCTTGCTGTAAGTGTTTCAGGGATTGGGGATACCAAGGGGGTTAAAGTCTCTTGGGGTTTGCAGAAATGAGGATCGTTTAGACACCGTCCGTCAGAAGATTTGGTTAGGCCATGTTCATAGCCCAGAGCCCCATACTGCACGCGTAAGCCCGGCATTCCTACACAACTGAATCCGTTAAATTCCCGATACCGAATACCAAATCTCCATGTAGACCAACGTAGAGTTTAATTAAGAATTTTTAGAAGTTTTGCCATTTGCAAGCAAGAGGTAGACACCTGCAAGCAATTTAAACTCCGCGAGTTTCTGCCTTCGACGTAATAGCCCCCCCAAATCCCCAAACCCAAAACCTAGAACCCGTAAACCACAACCCTTGCTACCCTGGTGGTGAATCGCCTCAACCCGATGCCCGTCTGATGTAGTGGCGGACCATGGGCCTACCACGCTTCATACTAAGTTACTATCGTGTCCGATGGGGATGCTCATAAGCAATTTCTGGTGTTGCCGCAGACTTGTTACATTACCGCTCACCGACATATAATATGTGTCTGTGCAATATATTGCCAATCTGTGACAACAAGTTGCCTTCTTCTTTCTTTCTGTCTAAATTTAACCAACGAATCAAACCAGAGTTTCTCGCGCTTCTTGCTTCCATCGCCAAGCCACATGTCTGTCCGGGAAACGGCAAGCCTGCCATGCAGGTGGTATGATATGCTGGATGGTGCAAGAACCTGTTCGGAATGCAACCATTAAATCATGCAAAACAAGTATTATTGCGATGGCTTGATGCACATGGCCCCGGCAACTCCCATCGAAATAGCGGCTGAAGCTCAACTCGAATCATAGAACATAGACGCCAGCGGTATCTAGAATCATGAGATCACTCTGGCGATCACCGTGCGGCCATCATGTTCAAGGCTACAGGAAAACTTGTCTGGATATCTAGGAAGTCGTCCTGCTTTTGGATTTGCTTTAAACATAGAACAACTCAAATACCAGCTGCTGTTGTGTGTTCCGCATGTGAAAAAACCAGTCTAGAAATCTATTTCCCTCAAGAGCCCCAGGCGCGAAACCCCAAATTCGCAAAACTCTAAACCCGTAGCTAGACCTTAGACTCCAGGATATGCACATGCAAAGCTCCTTGTTCTCAAACGAGGACGGGTTAGGCTGAGATTGCAGGACGTGCCCAGAAATAATTTGCAAGAAAATGAATAACGGTATCGATGCTGTAAAGCCGCGAGATAATTCATAGCAAGGGACAACACACGGATCCGACCTCCCAGTACTCCGAGCGTGGGCGCAGGATGTCCGCACGATACGCATCCGTAGGTGGCGCTTTGTACCGGCTGTGACTCTCAGACTCGCCTCCCAGTACACGCATCACGCGGCAGCAAGCTAGCATGCCATGCAGCGGAAGATGGATACAGCAGCGTCAACATGCGCAACAGTGTTGTGAAAAACCCAGCCATGAAAACCACACTCTCGGAGCCACCTGCGCCGCATCGGGTTTCTAGCTGTGGCTGCGGGAATCGCTCCTCCCAGAGGAAACACAAAATGAAATAAATGCAAAATACATCTTCGCCAGCAACAAAAAAACTGCTACCATGACAAATGTGGATCGTGTCCTCCACCTTGTTCACGACGTGGCCATCGACCGCACTCCACAAAGCCGAGAGCGGCGGAGGCTTGTAATCGGCATGTGTAGATGATACTCCTACAAAGTGCATATGCAGGATGTGCCGCGTGCACTTGGTGAAGGAACATCATGGCGAAACATGTGCCCGTCCTTCGAATTTTACATGCCTGAAGAGCGGAACAATGCATCGTGTCCGGGGCCAGTACGCCTTTTGCCGCCAAGCTGCGGTCGATCGAAACACACCATGCTGGCATTGTCCTTGTCCCACCGGAAGCGAGCCTTGCACAGTTGGGGCCACGAAAAACTAAATTGTTGGTTTTGTCGAGGGGGGAATTGTGTGAGTCTAAGTCGAAAAAAACCGGCGAACATACGGTACTCAGACCAAGTGGGACATGTGCATACTCTGCTTTCCCTCGCGTTTGTCGCTTTGCCGGAAATGCGAAGTTTGTGGCTGTTACGTGACACAACTACAAGTACAAGTAGCATTCATGATTACATACAAGCACGACTGGCCCCGGTGAATGTTGCGCATGGGGTACCGGTGTGCATCGCTCAGGCCTGCAGTCCCGGAACCAGCAATGTGATTGCAAATGCTCAACCAGATGCACGGTTCTGTCCGAGACCTGTGTCTGCATGTCGCCGCCCATCGCAGGACGCCTGCCCGTACACAGAGAATTTTGTGCCAGCCACATACACCGGTCCCCTTGATGCATGGCGTCTCTGCCAAATCTATATCTTGTGGCTGGACGTGCTGCCAGGACACGGACCATTCGCATGCAGCACCGCCAAGGACGAAGGCGCAAAGTCGCTGTTGATCATCGCTCCGAACACGCGCTCCCCGTGATTACAAGCTCCATGATTCTGCGTTGTGGTGCTATCGTCTTGTGGTACATGGATGCTCACGAACATGCCCGCTATTCGGGCGCTATGCATGCCCGTAGGACGTCTTACTGTTGGTACGCTTGTTTTTGCCTCGTCGCATGTTAGATTTCTACCAGTAGCCTGGTTGAAAATGCCACCGCTGAACAATGCTGATATCAAAGCTGCACGATGGCATTCCATGCTGGGTTTCGGACGCCTGAGACATGCAGGCGGAAACAATGCTGTCCTGGAAGCACCGCACGGAGGGTTCACCCTAAACCCTAAACCCTACCTTTTTTTCGCGCACCTTTTTGATGTCCGCAAATCGAGAAAGTCCAACTCCCGGTGCCACCTGCGAACTCCGGGCCCGAAAGGCTGGGCGCGGGAGGGGCTGCGTCGTGCAGCACGTCTTCAAATGGCGGCTGCTGTGCGCCAGGTAGGGCGCCAACGACATATGGCGCTCCGAGCAGCGTGGCAGCAAGCGGTGGCAGCAAGCGTGCTTTGCAAAGCCACGCTCAAGAAGCCCCACCAGCGGCGCAGCCAACCCTGCCTAGCCGCAGGGCGCAAGGCGGCAGGAGTGCGCTGAGCTCGGAAGCGCACGAGTTGAGTGACAAGGCGCACCGACTCAGCGCCCCAACGGCCTCCAACTTCACAGGCGAGGACGCACAGTCGCTGCGGCCCCGGCCGTGGCAGTTCAGGGTAGGCAACACGCTTGCGCATCTCAGCTACAGTGATGGCAGCGCCATCTCGAGTGTCAGAGGCGACACGAGCGTCACGTCGCAACACAACGCTTCGCCAACCAGGGTCGCCCCATACACGACAAGGTCAAGGCGGCGGCGATCGGCGGGGTCAACGTCGCGTGCTGACGTGCGCGCCAGCCACTGCTGTGGGACGACCTGGCCCTCGGGTCCGACAGCCTTACGCGCGATGCGCACCTATTTTTGTCTCGCGTCTGCGCGACCGGAGCAGCCGGCTGTTGGCAGGCGGCTGCAGCCTGCGCGCGTCGTCGAGGAACTCGTGCAATGCAGGATGCATCCGCCCACCAGTCTCAATGCCGACGACGACGAGGCAGCAGCGGCGGAGCAGCTCAGGATCAGTTTGCCGACGTTTGCGATGTGCAACTGATACGCAGCCAAGGGTGCGAAAGCGGGGTGACGAGCGTGCCGCACAAGAAGGCCAGCGCGCACGCCCTCGAATGTGCCTGGCGTAATGTTCATGCCGGTAATGCGAACATTGCCAACATTTCGTGTGACGTGGGCTCCGGCTTCGCGGCACACACGGGCACGGGTATGGGTATGTTTTTTTTTTCTCTTTTTCTCGCGCACCTTGTGGCGCCCGCATCAAGAGTCCTCAGGGTCGCTGCGGCCTTTTCGCAGGCTGCCCGCCAGCAAATCACACGGCACCTCTTGGTCGTCAGATGGGTCGCTGGGCCGCGCTGGGCAGCTCGAGGAGCGAGCGGGCGGGGGCTGGCCATCCCGGCGGACTGGGCTTCCGATTGTCGCATCCACCGCGATCGGAGCACCCTGCCAAAGGGGGAGGGCCATTGGCGTCTATGCTCCAGCGGCATCTGGGGGAGGTGGCACAGGCGTTCGCATGCGCTGTCCGACCTGTCCGACGAAGGGCAAAAACCGATCTGCTCTTCGTGTGCACTTTTTTTATACGCACTTATTTACCGACGTCCGAAGCCGCGTGGTCCCGGTGCGAAAGCCTAAAGCCAGGGCGACAGCCTACCGTAAAGAATTGCAAACAGGGTGCGCGCAGAGCGCGTTCACACCACACGGCTGGCGATCGGGGACAGCGAGGATGTCGCAAAGGGGTGGCGACTCCCCGTCAACACTGGCCGTACTGTACCAGTGAAGGGCAAAAACATCAAGCTGCTTGCGAAAAAAACATGCGGCCGCGAAGGACAGGAGCGCAAACCACCGGAGAGCGTAGGCCGATATGGCGGCGGCGTGTGAGGATGGCGGTGCAGACCGCGCCCGGCACCTTGCAAGCAAGCGGACAAAGGTAGCGGCCTCAGCACCCCAACGCCCCCCAATCTCAAGAGCCAGGACAATGAGCCGGCCGCGGTTGGACCTGCACAGTTCGGGGCATGTGCGCTCTTTAGCACATCTCGCAGTGAGCAAGGCAGCTTCGGCAGTACGACCCCCAGCTCTGCGTGGGAGGCCGGCAGCAGTAACAGGGGAGAGAAGCTTTGTGTCGACTGCCAGCTGGGCGCCACCCCGCAACGGCAGGCCGTCGTCTTAGCGATCTGGGTCTACATTCAAGCACTCTTTTATCATGAGTCGAGGCGGTCCCGGCGCACAAAGCGGCAGATTGCGGGGCGGGGCCAACACCACGAGTGCAAAGCAAAGGTTTAAGCGGGCCTCCGAGGCCGGGGGTGACCGCGCATCAATTAAGACCTCGTGCTCACACCTGTCGGCAAGGTGTCGAGGAGGGATGCGGCGACGGCACGCTGAGAGGGCTCAACCAGTTGCGGAGACCTCCCCGACATACACAAACACAGTTGCAGACAGCTCTGTGGCTCGTGCCGCGCGGCCATCGACATAATCGGGCATTTATGCTGGATCAGCGGCATTTTGAGCGACTGTGTCAGCAACTCGATGCAGCAGCCTGCCTAGCCAAGCCCAACTTCCGAAAAGCTCGCAGCGGCGGTCGAGCTCCACAGGTGATAGCAATTTGAGGATCGCTTGGCGCAATGCCAAATAGGGGGTGATGGCACCGAGCACCGCTAGCCCGACTCGTCTTTCGGGAGCCGTGCTCCGGGCAGGGAACTCAAAAAAGAGTTTTCAGGGCGACAAACAAACCTCTGGCCCTGGCTGGGCTGCCGGGCCGCGGCGGCCTTTGCCTCGAGCTTCCCGGTGAGCTCGACCGGTTGCGCGCATGTGTAACCGCAAGCACATACGACACA